ACAACAACTCCTTGACTGTTCTTGAATGGCCCAGCCAGAGCCCTGACTTAAACCCCATTGAGCATCTCTGGAGAGACCTGAAAATGGCTGTCCACCAACGTTTACCATCCAACCTGACAGCACTGGAGAGGATCTGCAAGGAGGAATGGCAGAGGATCCCCAAATGCAGGTGTGAAAACTTGTTGCATCATTCCCAAAAAGACTCATGGCTGTATTAGCTCAAAGGGGTGCTTCTACTAAATACTGAGCAAAGGGTCTGAATACTTATGACCATGTGATATTTCAGTTTTTCTTTTTTAATAAATCTGCAAAAATGTCAAAAATTCTGTGTTTTTCTGTCAATATGGGGTGCTGTGTGTACATTAATGAGGAAAAAAATGAACTTAAATGATTTTAGCATATGGCTGCAATATAACAAAGAGTGAAAAATTTAAGGGGGTCTGAATACTTTCCGTACCCACTGTATGTAAGTCTTATTCTCAATATAATTGAATCAGGTGAACTATTTAAAAAATCACCCCCTGTACAGTTGTCATGGAGGGGGAAATTAGCTATAGAGACCAAAACCATTTTGTTGTACCAGGCTGTAAACATTTCACTTGTAAATTTGGGCATTTTAACCTGGGAGCCTATGGGACTGACTACCTTTTGGAGGCAACCTCAAGTGGCCATTCGAGGAACTGCAGGTTTTACACTTCTCCATAGGCTTCATTTCTCAGCCTCGGAGGTTGCTGCTTGTGTTTATATCAACGGGCAACTCATTTTCATAACAGAAGAAGATGGAAATATGCTTTAATTTGCATTTATTTTTGCTGATTCTCTTTATGTAATTTGATGTATTGTATGTATTTCTGACCTTGCTTTTGTTTGTCTAGTCCAGATTCCATCTTGACTGTCATACCATTTTATAACTTTACCTTTGTTCTCTTAACTAGTCTTGACTCCATCGTTGTCAACAACTTATTTTTGACCTCTATTGTTGCACCTAATTCTGATTTATCAGAATACAACTAGAAAATATAGGAAATATGCACACAGTATTAAAACACACAAAAATGTCAGAACAAAAATCCTCCAACAAACTGGATACTCAAGATGTGGTATTGAAGCTGTTCTAAAGAAATATGAAGAATCTGGAGAGGTCGAGGACAAAAACAGGAAGAGCAAGCAAATGGTTAGAATCTGATGAAAAGTTTCTCAGAGGTTCTTCTTTGAGAGACCAGAGGAAACCCAACAAGGACCTGGCTCAGCATGTGGCAGCTTCATCTGGATGCCAAGTCAAGCCTTCCACAGTCCAAAGAAGTTCGATCAGGAGCAGCCTCTGTGGAAAGACAGCAGCCAAGAAGCCTCTTTTTCAGACGGAGACAGGGACAAAAGGCTGAGATATGTAAAAGATCACAAAGACTGGAGTGAAGATCAGTTGAAAAGAGTCTTATGGAGCGATTAATCTAAGTTTTTAGGTCCAGTTGTCGAGTATGGGAGAAGTAGAGTTGGAGAGAGGTGGAAGAATGAGCATAGCAGCCTTCAGTGAAACATGGTCGAGGCTCTGTCATGGTTTCAAGACTGTCTCCCCAAAAGAATTCAAGCTGTGCTAAGTGCAAAGGGAGGTCAAACTAAATACTGACTTTGGACTGTAGAAGCTATTTTTTACTGAAATTGTTGTGCTTTTAACATTGTGTACATATTTCCTGTATTTTCTGGTTATATCTTAGTAAAGGAATTGAGAAATAAATATGTTATCATTACAACCTTGCTATAAAGCAAAACTAATGGTGGTCTAAGACTTTTACCCAGTACCGTACCTCTGATGCCACCTTTGTCAGCATACATACATTTTGACACCACCTTTGCTGTTGCACCTAGTACTAACTCTAATGTGATCGGAGTATATAGTTCTCACTCTTCCTTTGCCTTTGTAGGTCCTTCTGATGGTGTCCCTAGCCCACAGTAGTTCTGACTACCTTTTTCACCATACTTAACTGTGACTGTGCCTTTGTTGTTGTATCTAGTTCTGACTTTACCTTTGTCTTTCTAAGTAGTTCCAGCTCAATTTTATCCAGGACCAGCTGCTCCCTACCTTTTCTGTCATACAGAATTTTGATTGGTCCTTTTTCCACTGTTTCCAGGTATTGCAGGACTGCTCTCTGGCGCCCCTCCTGGACACGTGGGGCGGTAAGTCCACCGTTGAGCTTATGGCAGAGATCTTTCCAGACAGCAAACTGGTTGGCACATCACAAATGCAGTGCAAGGACAGTAGCCAGTTGAATGACAGGTAATTCTAACATCATGTGTTTTGTCTTATAATATTCTTGAATTATTTCAGTGATATTTTAAATACACTAAAACAATGGCTTTTATTATCAACTAAGGACTCCTTTCTCTTTAATATTTTGTGTTTCCCTCCACACCTTTTAAACAGGAAATTAAACGGCCTTTTCAATAAAATACTCTTTGTGCTCCTGGTTTAACTGTGCTGATTTCTTTGTGATACACAATAGATCAATTTCCCAACCTCACTCAAAACTGTATTCTCTCTAATTATTATGGCTGCATCACAACCCTCTGCTGTCTCTGCATGTTGGGACATCTTAAATTTGTTTTGGTTTGTTGGTGAACATGAGAATGTTTCCTCAGAAAAGGAGACAAACTGTCATTTGTCTAATGATTTAGAGGAATGGCTTATCTGTTATACATGGTCAACCAAGAGTTGCAGGAAGTTTGTGTTTTCACCTTAACCATTGTGAAACTCATGTAGCTTTGTTTTGCTTTGTTCATGTTTAATTTGGGTGTTCAGTCTTATTGTTGAACAAAAGGTTCCTGTGGGTGTTCAAAGGTATGTAACCAGGCCAAAGTGATGATGATAACATGATGGTGAAGTGTTGTAGTTAGACAGTACTGGCATTATCAATCAGGACAGGAGAGACCAGACAAACCTGATCAACTTCTCTCAACATGTTGGACTCATTGGGAAAGGATTTCATAGTCTACATGAATGAAAGGCAAAGTGAAAGCTCAAAGAACAAATGGGACTTTTCTTAACCCACCTGTTATGTTCATTTCTAAGGAACAGCAGTGATGTTCCTGGGTTAACTTTACCATTACTAACCATTTCAATCACTATTTAGTGCAATGTGTTCTTTACCTCTCACAGATTATGGTTCAATGAGGATAATGCACTCGTTCTTCATTAAAAAAATGCATGTTAAAACTTTTTTTAATGTACATTGGAAAGACCTACATATAAAATACATTATTTTTACATGCTATTGATTTTTTTATTTTACATTTTGAAATCTTTTCTTTTTATGAAGTGATGTTGATAAATTAAGGAGACACCTCTTCTGTTCAGGGTCAAATTGACTGTATCTTTGTAATATAAACATGCAGGGGGAGGTTGCAATTATGTGAAATGAACCATGTTCATTTTATATGTTGATTACACCTATTACGCCAAGCAGAAGAAGTTTCATACCAATAAAATACTATTGTTTTTTGATGTTTTAACTTTGCAACATAACAGGGGGGTTAAGTGTCTCTCTTGCCATAATGGATGAATGTTCATCCTTCATCTTCTTTCATTTGGAACCTTATGCCCAGTGTGGTGACATAAATGTAGAGAGAAAGACAGACTGGTGGCTTCCTGCAGTGTGAACAGCTAAACAACCCTGACACCTTGAGGCCGGAATTGGTACAACACTGGAGATATGGCTGACCAATTAAAGGCTTCTTCACATTTGCCTGCTTTTGTAAAATAAAAAAATAAAACATTGACGAATCTGAAATGAAAATTATGCATGGGAAAAAAACAAAATCAAATTTTAGTGTTGTTCACTCCCTAGGATCCATGATGGCATCTGTGATGCTGCTCCGAGTGTGGCAATGGATGGAGAGATGGAGATCAGTTTAGATGAGGATGAGAAAGGCCTCATTACCAGAAAGGTAACAAAAAAAAGATGTCTCATGTCTTATGTCTTCATTTGTAATAGTTAACTTTTCCAGATGCTCTCTATATAATCAACTCTTATGTAGCCAGTACAGCGACACAAAGCTAAACCAGTAAATACAAAAAGCAGAGCAAAGCACCAATTGATGGAGGGAAACAAACTGAAGACTAGAGAGAAAGGGCTCTCAGCAGTCTCACATCCATTCCTTATACAATAACCCTCTGTGACTGCCCTTCCATGTTCTGATTGGTGTGATTTATTCAAACACAGCAGTGAAACTCTGGAGTATTCTTGTGTCTCCCTTCATGTCCACCAGGTGGATCTGTGTGAGGCTCTGAGGAGGAGCGTAGCAGTTCTACAGAAGGAGAAGGAGGTGCTCTGTGAAGAGCAGAAGCATCACCAGGCACTGGGGGCGAGCCTCGAAATGTTGGTACAGGAACACCTCAAAACCAATGAGAAGGAGAAGTACAGCATGTTCATCGGTACAACATCTGTCACTCTAGAGAAATATATCTCTCTCCATATAAAACAATGATTAATTAATTAATATTTAGCAACTACAGCTTGTGTGAAGCTTTGGTGATGTACAGTACCTGCAGCGTGTCAGAGACTGAGATGTTCATCTGCTTGTGTTTGCAGGAGATTTGGAGAAAATTGTGAACCTGCTGCTGTCTCTGTGCAGCCGCCTGTCAAGGATCGACAGGTCTTTGCTCGCTGTGGGGAGAGAGGAGGTGACGCAGGAGGGCATAGCAGAGGAAAGGGTGAGACAGGACACCGTTCCTCTGTCTGACATATATGTCTGTCTAGCTGTTTGTTTAAGTGTGTGCCTGTCTGCTCATCCCTCTGTAGTGCTGCTTCCAATGGTCACATCCTGTCACAGAATCACTTATGATGTTAGACAATTTGATGATCACACATGTTAAATGTATCACAGTGTTATTAAAATTAAGTACCTTATATTAGGCAGAATTCTTAAAGCTCCCAGTCACACTGTATATATATGACATAATAAGAAATATATATTTCATAGATTTTTTTTCATAGATGAACAGCTTATATTTACAATATTATTTGGTTAGTAATTTATCAATTGTTGCTTTATCAAATGTTTAAAAAAGTGTTCAAAAATAATTCCCATCATGCCTCACCTTGGTTGCAGTGAAGCAGTTTAGCCACTAGGTTAAAGTAAGATGCATGTGTTGTATCCAGATATTATGTCCCAAATCCACACTTGAATGTGACACTAAGCCAGCATGTGTGACAATAGGACCCTGAAACTGAAATGGAATTCAGCCATCGTGCATTTGATGACTTAAACCTGTGTTTTTCCTGCTGTGACATGTCAACATGCCTACTACGGGCCAAAAGTGGAACAAAGTGACAGACTACACAACACTAGTACACTACTACACTATTGCTGCTGCTTTTAATATTGAATTTCCAGTGGGAGCCTCCATTTGGGTGTTGACGCTTTAGAAGTTTTAGTAATAAATGAGATCTTGTATAAACTGATCAAATGTTATGTCATCTCCTCAGAAATCCCTCCAACACAAACGTTCTGTGCTCCTTCGTCAAACTGATGACGCCCGAGAGCTGAAGGAGAATTTGGACCGGAGGCAACGGGTGGTCCAGGGCATCCTGTCCAACTACCTCACTGAACCACAGCTCCAGGACTACTGCCACTTCGTTAGCAGTAAACCCTCTCTTCTGATTCGCCGACGGCACCTGGAAGACCTCATACGCCAGGGGGAAGAGCAGCTGACACGACTGGCAGAGACCCTGCCGGCAGACCTGGCAGAGGCGCACGGTTTGTCAAGAGCGAGTCCATTCTCATCACTGAGCTCCATGCTCCACTCTTTGCCACCTCCACCACTGCCTCCATCCTCTGTAATTCAAGGCAACGCCGTCAGGCCAACCACTGTGACATCATTATGATGTCATGGACATGTCACTGCTACGGGATGTGAAATGAAGAGATGATTGGCTCCTTATGTACTGAATATGAGCTTGAGTCATGCTTGAAAATGAAGAAGCTTAACATGAAGGAAGAGAGGGCCTGAAGCAGGCTCCATTCCCACTGAAACGACTATGCAGGCTTCACACGTGAACAAGACAAGTCATTAATGTGCCTCACTGTCATTCTGTTCACACATGACTTTACGTTACACCTCTGTTCATCTTAGCAGCACTACAATTGCCCTGAAATAACCCTGACTTTCTGTAAAATCAACTCTTGAACTCATTTCTGTGTCATCTCCCAAAGATAAAATACTATTATATGATAAACCTTGTAAAGCCTTTCACAAGACCTGGTCAAGCTCCTGCACATGCACAGTCAGATGACTAAAAAGAAATGAACACTGAAGTTGGAGGGACACCATTTTTATTTCACTGCAACAAAAACCTCTGTGCACAGGTCTTGAAGGGGAAATGCTTTGAAAAAACTGTTATGATCACTGTCACACACTGTAACACTACTACTGCCACTACTGCCTGTACAGTATGTCTGAAGCTTGTGGCACTTTTAGCCATTTGACTACTGTTTGCAACAAATTTTACACTGAATGATAAAAGAAGTTTCACTTCTGCGTCTGTCAGTCATTTAAATCTGTCAGTCTCTTTTTAATAATCTATGAAATAATAAGATTAAATGCTAAGAATAACGACCAATTTACCAAACAAAGACGTTTAATTTACAATGACAAGAAACACAGAAGAGAATCCAATATTCAAATATGAGAACCTGGAATTAACAAAATGAATTAAAAAAATAACATGAACAAGTCATCAAACACTGTAGATAAATGGCCTGCTAATCATATAAGTGAATAAACTGAGTAGTCATTTCATGGTGGTTAGATGCTTTGCACAGTTTTGAGTGCATGAGTAAATTGACATAGGTTCGTTTCTATTCAACCCCAACATTCTGGATCCTACATTTCCCATAATACAACTTGATTGTGTCTTTTATTTGATATACACTGCCTAATTAGCACCCATATCTTTGACCCGCTGTTGGTAGCATGAGCATTCTAGTACAAAATTTATATCTCACCACAGAAAACTTTACACTGTATTTGTTTTCACATCATTCAATCATAAAAGTTGCACATTTGTGATCAGATGAAGTAAAGTAGGAAAAGAAAAAGATGTAATTCTCAACAGTCAAGAAAATACCAATGCTAAAATTAATCAAATTAAAAATACATATAAAATGCTGCACCACCTCACCTTTTATTAAGCCATGAAATAGAATCTCCCATTATCACAACATAATTTTGTGACAGGACACCGTTGTCTTCTCTGGACTCCCAGAATTTTCGACAGCACACACACTATCCCACTTTGGATCAATCCTATCATCTGCCAGTGAAGGATTGGTTTTATACAGGGCACACATGTTTTATAATATATCTAACTTAACAGATCTGTCATGTACGGGAGTGCCATTTTGCTTCCCTTCAGTTCTGGTTATCTGGGGACTCCAAATTGCATATGACAAGAATAACAGTTCTGCAGGGTCAAAATTAATTTCATTAATAAAGAGCTGCAGCAGTGTGTGGAATGTAAAATACAGAGGTTTTTGAACAGCTGAAGTACTGATCCGTAGAGGTTTATACATGTTTTCACTCTATGAGAGCACCTTTTAAATATTCTGTTTGTCATATCCTCCAAACAGCACACAGTCTGCCTTATGTCCTCAATTATAACCCACATTTTACTGTTGATTATTGGTTTGTTTTATTCCTGTTTCTTTCAGAGACACAACAGAATATCTCAGACATTTCTTGGTTTATCGTTTCATTGAATTCAGTGTTTGCTTTTAAAGAAGGACAATTGCAAAACAGCTCCTAGTTTTTGCAAAATAAATGTATTTTGTAAACACTTTCACACTTTGTGTTCATGTGAAGTTGTCATGTGTGCGCACACACTAATAAATAAGTAAATACTGGTCATACACAGGTTAAGTTTGTCTTTCCTGATGCCCCACATCTGTTGGTTTGGTACATGGGCTGATGCTCAGACCGGCTGGTGAACATAACTGAGCATTTAGCAGCTAAAAAGCCAGATATTTCCCCCAGGAGTTAGTGACCAAAGTTTAAAGAGTGAATACTGGATGTGGCTAGAAAGAATAATTTGGATCACTCCTGTTGCAGTTTATTTAAAAAAATTTAGATTGCAAAACATATACACAGAATAATTAGGATTCTTGCTATTGACTGTGATCCTAATTTACATTTATTGGAAAAGAAGACATACAGTGGGTCATTTAAGTTCATTTTTTCCCTCATTAATGTACACACAGCACCCCATATTGACAGAAAAACACAGAATTTGACATTTTTGCAGATTTATTAAAAAAGAAAAACTGAAATATCACATTCTCATAAGTATTCAGACCCGTTGCTCAGTATTTAGTAGAAGCACCCTTTTGAGCTAATACAGCCATGAGTCTTTTTGGGAATGATGCAACAAGTTTTTCACACCTGCATTTGGGGATCCTCTGCCATTCCTCCTTGCAGATCCTCTCCAGTTCTGTCAGGTTGGATGGTAAACCTTGGTGGACAGCCATTTTCAGGTCTTTCCAGAGATGCTCAATTGGGTTTAAATCAGGGCTCTGGCTGGGCCATTCAAGAACAGTCACGGAGTTGTTGTGAAGCCAATCCTTCGTTATTTTAGCTGTGTGCTTAGGGCCATTGTCTTGTTGGAAGGTGAACCTTCAGCTCAGTCTGAGGTCCTGAGCACTCTGGAGAAGGTTTTCGTCCAGAATATCCCTGTACTTGGCCG